TAACCCTAACCCTAACCCTAACCCTAACCCTAACCCTAACCCTAACCCTAACCCAGATGGGAGAACCAAATGAGGAAAGACGGGAAGCGAGATTACAGGCTGGCACATACTGAGGAGTGGCTCTTGGGTAGCCTGCACCCTGGTTACATGTATCAGGTGTGAAGTGAACAGAGCTGGTGCACGTGGCCGCATAGGATGTGCTGCGAACTGGTAGATGATGGACGGTCGCTACGAAGACGTGTGAGGAACCGCAAGTTATCCAGTCAGGTAGGAGAACACGATGCTAGTCGTCCCCTTTGCCGGCATCTTCTGTGAGCCTGGAAGAGACGCGTAAATTAATTGGTAATTCTCAAGATATGTAGGAGTAAGTGCTTCTGAATATCCGTGTTGTAGCCTTGTCTTTAGCGCGCGTGGAGAATCGAACAGCGTGAGAAGCCTAGAGACCGGGGACTTTGAGGCCTTGGCAAGTCAGGGTCGTAATGAATCTATTGTGAGAGCTACTTTGCCGATCGCCGGCCAGCGGCCAACCCGATTCATTGGGTCTGCTATCGCTCGTAAAGTGCAATGTGCGAAATAGCGGATCCGTGCCGGTGGTGAACGTATTTGCTCCTTGGCATGATGCGAAGTCGGGGTTGAGACATCTTGTTAACTTTTGATAAAGGCCAAACACCAAGCAGGACCTGTTCCTCAGCATATCACCCTTCTAATAGCGAATGATGGATCAGTCGGACGGCAGACCTGATGAGTCCCTCGCAAGCATGACGCGGACCGCACGGTTGACACAATGGGCTGCAGCGCTATCCTACGACGAAATACCCAGCGCAGTGATTGAACAGACGAAGTTGCTTTTCTTGGACTGGCTAGGCTGCTGCGTTGCGGGCAGAAGCCATGCTTCAGTTCAATCCATGCTGCATTTCGCGCAAACGATGGGGCCAAAAGAGGGACGGAGCGAGTTGGTATCGTTCGCGGGTGTTACCACTAGCCCATACTTTGCGGCAATGGTCAATGGCGCGAGCTCCCACGTTGTGGAGCAAGATGATCTTCACAATAGCAGCATGATACATCCGGTATGACGACCTTTTCTCATTCCTCTTCCACCTATCCCAGCTCGCAAAGCAGCTACCTGCTCTAGTTGCATTTTGATCACGATACTTTCCATTGATAAAGGGTTGACTCTGGAGATCTACACAGGCCACGGTTGTTTTCCCAGCGGCACTGGCGGTTGCCCAGGATGTGGGTTGTTCAGGATCAGACTTCCTGAAAGCATGCGTGATTGGATACGAGTTTGCATGCCGAGCGGGCGAATGTCTGGGCAAAGAACACTACAAGGTAAAGTTCTTTTCCCGGCTCTTCTGCCTTATGATCACGTCGTTGACGAATGACAACTTTCCCTAGGCTTTCCATTCAACCGCCACAGCTGGAGTTCTTGGTGCGGCTGCTGCCACTACTTGCCTGCTGAAAGGAACCAGCCCCGTGTACTTGTCTGCTCTTGGGACAGCAGGAACCCAGGCTGCTGGGCTATGGCAATTTTTGCTTGATGCAACACATTCAAAGCAAGTCCACACTGCACGCGCCTGTTCGAATGGCGTGTACGCTGCATATGTGGCCACGTGTGGCCTCCTCGGTCCCACTGACATTATCGAAGGTGAGAAAGGAATGATTGCAATGCTTTCTGCAAGGAATGCTAGACCTGAATTTCTGGACTCCAAATTGGGCCAGAAGTGGGCTGTGATGGAGTCCAGTTTTAAATGGCACGCCTCGTGTCGACACACGCACGCGGCTATCGATGCTTTCCTGGCTCTGATCGAGGAATTTTCCATTGGTTGGGGTGACATTGAACAAGTGAAGGCTTACACTTACGACCTGGCCATCAGTATCATGAGTCTGAGCGAAAAAGCAGAGACGGTCCACCAGAGCAAGTTTTCCATGGGATTCGTTCTTGCGGTGGCAGCAAAGCACGGGCAGGCTATGATCACTGATTTTACAGAGCAAGCACTGGAGGACACGGAGCTTCGAGACTTTCAGCGGCGGGTGGAGATGGTGCTTGATGCAGAAATCGATTCTTTATTCCCTGAGCACTGGACCAGTCGCATTGAAGTCACAACAAAGACTGGTAGTGTGTTTTCCAAGTCCGTCGACGCAGCAAAAGGAGATCCACAATGGTCATTGACCCGGTAAGGAGCGTTTGCAACGCTGCTGGTTCCACTCGCTGATTACATCAATTTAGGGATGAGATTGAAACCAAATTTCGCGCTCTCGTAGAATATGGCGGTGAGAAGAATATGGACTTCGTCGACGAGATTATCAATAAAGTGCGGCGTCTGGAGACAGAAGCTGATATTCACGGATTTGCCTTCGTTTAGTCAACATAGAATCGGACAATCCTGGCATTTAGAGTATAACAAGCGGCTGTAGCCATTGTACTGACCATAAAGTGGGTTGTTACAGAACCCTTGTGCTGTTACAGAACCCTTGTAAGTCCCTACCATCTGATGTGTAGTAAGGTATCATTAAGCCTGTAATATCTGCAGTGAGGTATAGGTATCGGTAGGTTCACTCGTAACTAAGCTTAGTTGTTACAAATTTTGTGAGCCTTCAAAGGCTTTACAGGCTCGCAATCAAGCAGTTTTGAGGCCGGCTCGCAGGTAGTTTTTTTTTCTGGGGGCCGAATGACCAGAATTGCTTAAATTCTTTAGACTGAGCAGCGATTCCGTTGCTTGAATCCATATTCTTTTCTCTTCCACTATGGACGATTACCTCTTGGTGAAATGATGTTGTCTCAAAGCATGTTTATCTCTGCGCCGACTGGGGGCCATTCGTCTCCCATCAAGCAATCGAAAGCAGGCCATTCCAGGTCGGCCATAGTAGTAAAGTTCGACAGCATCGATTCGTCTTCATCGAGGAAAGGCTCGGAGGGCGACTGGTGACTTCCGGGCAATGGGAACCCTCGCCTTCCACCTATGACGGTCAGTGGAAATCACATGATACTAAGCGATTAAACTGATTTCTAAGACCAGCAACAGCATAGCCGTAGAATTCAGGAGCCTTGATGTTGCTGATGACGGACACGTACCATGCGACAAAGGGATGCGGAATTCTGACTTACCTTCGGCATGCTCGTAGACACTAGCTTGCCAGCCATATTCCTGGCGCCACCACCAGAAACAGTCATACACCATACTCATACCAAGCCGAGCCCTGCTGCGAACGGTAAGGCTAGCGAAGCTACCGTTGGAAGTCTTGAAGATGCGCGAGCTAGTCCACAGATTTGTCAAGATGATACTGAACCGGGCGAAGGCATCATCCTGTCGCACGGCATGACGTCGGTGAAAAATGATGAGGGCAAAATACGCACGACGACCGCGCTCCAGATCCAGCTGGTCCTTCAGGTCCGATCTGCTGATGCGCAAAATGGCGACTGCTGCAGAATGCAGAAACCTCGCAATGAAACTCGGGCCGCACTCGGCAACTCTCGAGGTTTCATTAATCACCAAAATTTGCTCCACCATCGTGATTGCCAAATTGTACATTCCGGTGAGAACTTCTGCGCTGATGGCACTCCGATGTTTGAATAAGTGGAAGCTGAGTATGTGCAGCTCGGCGGCTTGCACATAGAATACATCTGCCTCAAAGAGTCAGGCAAACAAAGGATAGATAGCTTAACACGAAGAGAAAGTGGATATATACCTAGGGGACTTGCTTGACTCTGATCCAGCTGACGTATGCTAGCGACAGCCGACTCTATCATTGGATCCAGAACGCCCTGCAGCGTTGCGTATGGCAACGGTAGCGCATACTTTTGCAAGTCGAGAATCGCAGTGGTCAACAGTTCGCTGACGGATTTCTGGAGGACCAGACTGGGTGAAAGGACTTGATCAGACGGCGAGAGAGCGATATGGTAGGTATCGGGCATCATCAAAGGCGGTGTGCCGTTTGTTGTTATCACTCTAATGAGACCTCGCGTGATCAGTAAATGACGACGTGTATTGCAATCTCGCCGGCGGCTACTCACCGTTGGCAGACCACGAGGCAGCAGGCCCACAGTCTCCCACGAGCTGTGGTCTGGTCGGCGTCATCGCTTACTTTGGTGCGCGAAAACTCTTGGCCGTTGCCGCGAATATGAAGTCCTGCGACTGCGGCTAGCTGCAAAGCTGCGGCGGCCAGGATGCTGGTAATGTCATCGCTCAAGGCATGGAACGGCATGGGCCAGGCGCAAAGGAGTACAAAGGCTTGTAAAGTCATCAAAACCGGTTCCTGACGGAAGATGGCCATCTTTGCCATGCTGGAGACCTTAGGGCCGAGGAGAATTACGAGGGTGGGGTTCTCGGTGTATTTTCGAGACCCGATAGCTACAATCGTCCAGAACAGCAAGGGAGATTGCGCGTAGCATATGTTAGGATGCATGGGACTGGGTACCAAGGGTACATACGATAGGCAGTCCTGGATGAAACTATCGACACGTTCAGCGTCGCCATTTCGGGGCAGCGTTTGGGAAAGTGGCGACTGACAGAGCGAAACATTCGTCTATCTCGCGCGCCGCCACCCGTAGGTCTCCAATTGACCGATCAGCCGTGGGAGGAGGAACGTCTTGAACTTGCCACCACGTGGCCGCAGGGGTGGTCTGATTGGGAAGGGCAACAGGCACCGCGTCAGCGGCACTGGAGGAGATGTCGGTTGCATCACCGGGCAGCATGATGCCTCCGCTCGTGGGCTGGTCTGCTGGTATGGCATCGGTCAGAAGATCTACCGCATCGTTCAGGAACGTGTGGACCGGTGAGTGGGTGCTACCGTTATCGTCGCCGTCGCCGCCGCCGCCGCCACCATCACCGATGCTGCCACCACCGTCCACCGAGACGCGCTCACGGAGCTTCCTAATCTCGTGCAGCAGCTCAGTTTTCCTGCCAAGCCACACGCGGGAGAGTCAGAACGGGGCCTGATGACCAAAGCACGGAAAACGGAGAAGTTGGAGCAGACTCACGTGGGTCGACGCTGGCGGCGATAGGCCTTGGAGAAGACGCAGTCGATTCTGATGCGGCGACAGCGCGAACACGGCTGGTCCGAGCCCGCCACCCCGTCGCACCGCACCTGTGTGGCCACGTGGTTTAGTCAGTGACCCAACGCCGGGGCAGGGGCAGCAGTGGCATCGTACGCAGCAGCAGCGGTGGCGGAAGGAAGGAAGGAAAGAAAGAAAGGAAGGAAGGAAGGAAGGAAGGAAGGAGCGTGTGGGCATCGGGGGCAGGAACGCACTTTCTGCTGGCGGCATTCAACGCACGCCATCTTGGTGTCTCCTGAAGATTGTTGGCCGGCTGGTGTGTCTGGTGTGTGTGCTTGTGTGTGTGTCTGTTAGCTGCATGGTCGGTGGTCTTGGTAACTAGCTAGATAAAGACTCTGCGAAGTGCGGGGTCCAGCTCCGACCATCGGCACCTTATTATAGATTACAGTACCGCACGAGCAGCCGATACCTCCATGCCCGTCGCATGGCCGACATGGTAGTATATGGATGATAAAAACTACACAGAAGCTGTGACCACAGCAGCTTGGACTGCCCTGTCCTGTCCTGTCCTGTCCCGGCATCGCTGCTAACTTTACCCTAAGCCATGTCTACCTTCACTCCCTTCAGGCTCTTTACCCCATCACCCATTCTCGGATATGGCTACAACATCGATGAGTTCTGGAACGCCGTCGATGATCAGCCTGCAGCCATCATCGTTGACGCCGGTTCCACCGATCCCGGACCGTACATGTTGGGCACAGGCAAGACGCTGTGTTCCCGGCAGTCCTACGTTCGTGACCTGACGCCCATTCTCGAAGCGTGTGCCACTAGAGGCATTAAATTTATCGTCAGTTCTGCCGGTGGCGCAGGAACCAACGCTCAGGTCGACTTCACCATCGATATCATTACCGACATTGCCAAACAGCGGTCGTGGTCGTTCAAGCTCGCCACCATCAAATTTGATGACAAACGTGAACAAATCCAGTCCAGGGAAAGAGCCGGGCAGATCAAACCGTGCAGCTCCGCCCCGCCTCTGGCTGCCGGAGCTGTGCAGCGAGCAACGACCATAGTAGCCCAGATGGGGGCGGAGCCCTTCATGCAAGTATTGCAGGACAACACGGTCGACATCATTGTCGCCGCTCGCTCGTACGATCCGGCCCCCTTCGCGGCTTTCTGCATGGTGCGCGGCGTTGAAGAGAGCACGGCTTGGCACGTCGGCAAGATCATCGAATGCGGCGGTCTCTGTGCAGTCCCCAAAGGCCGCTCAATTGTAGCAACAATGCACAAAGATTTCTTCGAGCTGACTCCTACCGATCCCACCCAGCGCTGCACACCCGTGTCCGTGGCCGCTCACACGCTATATGAGAAGACCAGGCCAGATCAGCTACCCGGTCCTGGTGGCGTGCTTCACCTGGATGCATGCACATACAGCGTCAATCCGGATAACCGCACGGTTCGCGTTCGAGGCTCGCGCTTCGTGAAGTCTACCCAATACGAGATCAAGCTGGAGGGCGCCGAGCATGTCGGCTATCGAACTGTCTATATCGGAGGTGTTAGGGATCCCATTTTGATCAAAGGCATAAACGAATTTCTTAGCACGGTGAGGAGGACCACTCTCGAAGCATTTCCTGACTTGGGGGCCAAGGACGGCCCCCAGTTGTTATTCCACGTTTACGGCAAGAACGCCGTCATGGGCCCGCTCGAGAGCGCATCAAATTCCGCTTACGAAATTGGTGTCTTGGGTGAGGTGGTCGCCAAATCACAGGATCTGGCAGACGCAATAGCAGGGTTTTCAAGAACTGCCCTGCTTCATGGCTCCTACGAGGACCAACTGGCGACCGGCGGGAATATCGCGTCGCCACTAACGCCACTAGAGGTGTCGTTGGGCGCGGTGTTTTATTTCTCGCTCTATCATCTCATGAGAATAGAGAACCCGACGGCACTTTTCCCCATCAGAACGATGCAAATTGGACCGGGGAAAAGCAATTTCGCGGTCCAAGTGCTACAGCAGAAGCCTAGACCGCCACGGCGCACTGCGACTCTGCAGGCAGCGCGAGAACCGGACAAACCAGCGTCTCGGGGTGAGTGGTCTGCAAGCTCTTCACTACAGTCCAGCATGATAAGCTAACGCATTTTTTTAGACCAAAAAGACGCAAAGGACTGGGCGATGCATGCTGGGCCCGTCACAATCCAAAAGCTCGCGTCTGTGGTAAGATCGAAAAACTCCGGCCCGTTCGAGATCACTCTTGACATTCTGTTCGCCACTCGCACCGCCTTTGATCGTGCACAGCGGTCCGATGCTCTCACTGCTGAGCGGCTTCGAGCTCTCTATCGGCTCGAGTCTCCTTCTGACATCATTACCATCATGTTCTATCGGCCTGCTCTTGCTTGGAAGTGTACATTCAAGCGGCCGTGGCCTCAAGGCTCAATTGGAGAGCGGGACACCTTCGGGGCGCAAATGCATGCACCGCTGCTCTCACTTGCACTGCCCAAGGATCCGTTAATAGGAGACAGCTTGCGAGCTTCGCCATGAAAATCAGGGATTCTTGAAAGTAAATAATTTGCATTAGTCCACCAGCGCGGCTCCATCCATCAAGTCCATCTCTAGTTGAGCGAGTAGGAGATTCATTCCTCTCCCACCTCAAATGAACTCAGCCGAAGGCTTCTCTTATAGCCAAATGTTTTACGGCAAAGATGCAACAACAGACTGTCCCCGGCTTGGACTTGCTTGTATTTCAAGTTTGAGTGCGGTTCAAACCCAAAAGCGTCAATCTACCTCCCATCCCGGAAAACCCTGATCACAACGTTGCCAAAGTGCTTCTGCGCCCAAAGATGTTCAAAAGCTTTGGGCGCGTCCTCAAAGTCCCAAACAGGTGCGTCAACGTTCGGTTTAAGCCCCACCTTGGCGATGAAGTCGTTCATCTCTTCGAATTGATCCCGACTCCCGACCATGAACCTGCGCATCGTGCACGGATGCCGGAAGACATCGGAGAGAAGCAGCTGATTCTGACTCTTGGCGCCGGCCTGGGCGGTACGTTGCCCGATGACAGAAATGACTCCATCCATGGCGATCGACTTGAGCGTCTGCTCGAATGTGCCTGGCCCACCTATCTCTACCACGTAATCTGCGCCACGTGGCGAGATCCGTCGCACCTCGTCCGCCCACTCTTCACGCTGGCGGTAGTTGATGGTGTGGTGAACCCCTAGTTGGCGGAGTCGCTCCTCTTTCGCCTCCGAGCTAGTAGTTGCAATTACTTTCGCGCCACTGGCAATGCCGAATTGGGCGGCGAAAATGCTGACGGATCCCGTTCCTTGCACTACAGCGACATCCCCTTGTGTAACCTTGCGAGATGCCCCGGTTAGAGCATTCCAGGCGGTCAATCCGCCGCAGGGAAGGGTACTGGCCTCGAACATGTCGAGATTCGACGGCACCAAAACCAATCCGTCTTCCGGGAACACGGCGTACTCTCGCAAGGTGCCGTCCAATGATGCTCCGAGGCCACTCTTCACATCCTCCGGTGTCACTGGCCCCGAGATGTGCGTCTGGTGAAACGTCGCCATGACGCGCTGGCCCTCGCGAACTCGCGTGACCGCAGAGCCTATCGCAACTACTTCGCCCGCACCATCAGAGCACGGGACCAGGCCATTCGTGACAGGCCAGATGTACGTCCCCGTTGCAATCATGATGTCGCGAAAATTGAGGCTCACCGCGTGGACGCGGACCAAAACTTCTTTCTCCCCGATGGCCGGCATCGCGACAGATTCGAGAGCGAGGGACGAGAATCCATTCCTGCCCGCCTCTTCCGACGGGTCACGGACAACGTACTGTCTGTATGTCTGTGGAAGCATTGTTTTTGCCCAAGCTCGACCGCAGCAAAATCTTCGATACTATAGAGAAAAGAAGACTTACTTGAGCGCAAGTTGGGTATAGCTAAAGAGGGTCTATAAGCAAAGGCTCGCCGATAATCGGACCCAAAGGTCCGAGGAACGGGCATCCGTAATCTTTGGGCTTTGTTAGCCGCAAGACTAGTACGTCCGAATAGAATTCTGGCCGGCAATTCAGATTGAAAGCACAGCGAACTGCTACCCAGTATGCCCAGTCCCACGACACTGTCGAGGAATTGGAGTCGTCCTAATTAGGCTAGGGTCAGTGTCGGTCTTGAGCGTCGTGGAATTGAATTTGAGGTCAAATCCTCGACGGTGAGAAGTGCTTCAATACTCTTCAAAAAATTACAGATGAGAGAGAACCCTGACATGAATGACAGAGACTAGGATTCATGCCTCAACGGAATCGTGTCTCCCATCGCATCCGTGTCCTTTTCCCCCCTCCGCCTCCAAAACACCGCCCATCCGCCCCTGCCCGCCGGCCTGCACCACTGTGCTGTGCGCCGCCCCGTCCCAACTGCCCTCCTTCCCTCCCTACACCGCTGCTCCTCCAGTCCATGGGCACGACTGTGAGGTTCCTCTACCCCAGGTGCGGTCCGCCCGGCGCTGAGAGGCCCGTCCCACCCAACGGTCGCTAACGACGGATGAGGATGAGGATGAGGATGAGGATGAGGATGGGGATGCGGATGAGCGGGCGTGGGCCGTCGAGGCCTAGCGCGTAACGAGCGCGTAGGCGAGGCGCGTGTCCTGTTGCAGACCGGATCTCTCTGAGAGTAGCATATCTCCATCCAGCTTTGCATCATCTAATTTGAAGCCCAACAGGCGGGCAACCCTCGAGCCGATGGCTAGCACTGCGGTCGACGTCTTTGAATATCTCCCAGAGCATCGGCTTGCGGTGTGTCGAACCTGCCACTTTGCGGTCTTGCCTAGCCAGGCCACCACCCACCTAGCGCACCATCATCGCGACATCCCAGCCAGATTGCGGCCTGCAATCGTTCGGGAGCTAGCCGGGTGGCCAGACATCTGCCAGCAGCCCAGTAGCGGCGTAGCACCGGCCGGGGTGCCGGAACCGTTCTCGAGTCTGGCTCTGTTCACAGACGGGCTCCAGTGCCAGCTTGAGCCCCAAGCCTGTCGGTATATCTGCAGATCACTAGGGACGTTACGGGGCCACTGGCGTCGAGCCCATCAGTGGGCACCGGGAACTCACGGAGGCTGCCGAAGCTCACAGAGGCAGGCGGCGGCAGCACAGCGGCGTGCAGATGCCTATCGATCGGTCTGGTGCCAGCGCTTCTTTGTTGCTCACGGCGGCACACCGTACTTTGAAGTAGCTCGGCCAGCCCAGCACCTACGCACACTCGACAAGTCTCTGGCCGAAGGGGAGCAGGAGCGGCAGCAGCAGCAGGAGCAGGGGCAGGAGCAGGACGACTCGTTCCTACAGGATGTGCTTGCAGACCTTGCTGGAAGAGAGGCTACCAGTAGTGTAGTGCACGGAGGGGTCCAGAGGCCGCGGCACCAGCAGGAGGTGTCGCCCTGGCTGGAACTAACCCGCTGGGCAGGCTACCTCTCTGGCCATCCCCTGCCGGAACTCGCCGCTCTAGCAGCAGTGCCAGACCCTGTGTCGGAGCCCCTACTACATGAGCTAGGTCAGAGCCTCGAGCGCTAAGTTGACGATGCCTATCAGAGCGTCTGTAATGACGAGATCAACGTCTTCGACCAGAGCCGGATCAACAGCTTCCTCCAGCAGTCGCGCGCGAGCGATCGGCCCCTTATGATCAAGCTGCAGAAGTCAACCTGGCGCAGGTATACTAGTGTGTGGAAGGCGCTCTTGTGCTTTGTATGCCGGACAGCCGACGCAGACTGTCCGATTGCGCTAGAGCATCGCTTTACTAGCTACCAGGCGGCCTGCCTCGACAGCACTCTTGCGAATGCGAGGGCCTTGCAGCATGCTGCGGTAACAGATGTGGACGTAGCCTGTCCTGCGGCCGTGGAGCAGGCGAGGGACCGGCTCGATGCAACATGTCTTGATCTCTGCATTGCCCTCCTTGATCAGGATCTGAGGGGCCGTCTGTACGAGAGCGCTACCGTGGGCTTCCTTGCCGTCCTAGGGATTGATGTGGCTAGGAATAACCTCCGGGAGGCCTACTGTTTCAGCCCGAGGCTCTCTGGCTTTATCAAGATCTCGCAGCTCCTTACTATCTAGAAGGCGGTTACTACGGCGCGAGAGGTAGAGGGCGTCTATCTAGCGGATGTCCTCGATGAGCTACGATCCCGCTTCCTTGCCCACGGCACACGCTCGCCCTTTAGCTGGGCGGTTAAGCTCTAAGCCTTCGCCAAGAAGGTAAGGGACTGCACCACGAGCCTGGGATACATCCTGTGGTCCGAGGACAATTAGTCGGTGTGCTATAAGGACATCCCGTCGCTAGGCATGGCTAGCTTTAAAGGGTTTGTCCGCGAGCAGGTCTAGAAGACGCAGACCGAGTTAGAGGCCCTCCTCTTAGTCTACCCATCCGAGTGCCGGAGCGACCTAGATATTGCATTCTATATGCATCGGGTAGTCGACAATGCTGCAGAAGGTCGGAACGGCTGGAATTTCTTGCAGCACCAGGCCAACCTGCAGGGCACGCTCCCTGACCGTAAGCAGTGGCTGCTAAGACGGGTGCTCCAGAACGAGTAGCTGCAGAATGAGTTCCTCCTACTAAGCACTAAGGCTAAACGCTTAAAATGGGACCGCAATGCTGCAGTCGGGTACCTCCGGCGCGCAGATGGCTTCCTACGGCGCCTTCTTTTGCTAGTCCACCTAACCGCGGGACAGCCTGCGCGTGGGACGGAACTGCTTAGTGTCCGGTGTGTTAATACTGTAAATAGCCAGCACCGCAGCATCTTTGTCGAGCATAGCATAGTTAGCATTATTACGACATACCACAAGGGCTACTACGTTACCGGCACCACCAAGATCATCTACCGCTATCTCCCTCGCGAGGTCGGCGAGCTGCTGATCTACTATCTCTAGTTGGTCCGGCCGTTCTGCTAGCAGCTACGCCTACTCGCCCTTAATAGCTAGGAACTAGAGTCTCCTTTCCTATAGGCGTATCCGGGGCAGAAGGGCAGTCACTCACGACTATGGGACAGCAGCGTCCTAAGCCAGGTTATGCAGCAGGAGTTCTTAGCAGGCCTCGCAATCCGGATGACGATACTAGTGTACCGGCACCTCGCTATTGCGATGTCTCGGAAGCACCTGAAATGCGAGGGCTTCAAGCGGGACTACAGCGCCGAGGAGAGCTCGTTTAATCGGCAGGCTTCACATAATATGTAGACTACTAGCTGCATCTATACCCGTGGGCTGGAGGAGGCCGCTAGACACGTCGAGGAGCGGAAGGCGGAGTACCGGAAGATTAGTTAGTAGTAGTATACCTTTCTCGGGTTTACGCCGCCTATACTACCTACTAGGAAGCGGCCGTTATCGGACGTTACTAACCGTTCTAGCTAGTAGGCTAAGTAGGCGTATATAAACGGAGAGCGTCGAGCTAATATAGATAATATATAGGAGTTCTAAGTCTATAGAAGTTAATATTTAGCTTCTACGCTACTATTTAAACTTAAAAGTAGATCTCTCTTTACTCTAGAGTTTATAATATAGTAAGTATAATTTAGCGTTAAAAGTTTTTACTAGTTCTATAAATAGGCCTATTCCTAAGTTAGCTATTAAAAAGAACTATTTATAGTATAGATTATATAACTAGCTAGCTAAAACCTTTAAAAGTATATAGTAATACTATAAAAATATATATAGCTAGAAAAGTAGTAAAAGTAGAGAAAGAAGTACTATAGCGAAAAAGCTACTAGAGGAAAATTAAGTCTAGACTACTAGCTATTACTACTAATAGCTATTTAGAGTACTAGGCTAGAAGAAGCTATCTAAAGTTTATATAATTCTAGACTAAATCTCTAAATTACTATAAGCTAGCTAACTACTAGTAAAATAGATAAGAAGAAGTAAATACTCGAGAAAATAGTCTACTTTAGCTTTATATACTTAAATAGCGGTACTTCGCTATCTCGGCCTCTATCTAGTACTACTAGTTTATAGAAACTTGTCTTAGAGCTATATATTTATAAGAACGCGCTTAAGAAACTAGTTCTTATATACTAGTAGAAGCTTCTATATATTTCTTTTATACTAGAGGAAGTTCTAGCTTTTATAGTTTTTAATAGCTTTATCGATAATATAGTATATTTAGAACTATAGACTAAGGTCCTCCTATCGCTCTATTAGGATTAGTTCGTTAATTCTAGAATCTTACTTAGTATAGATACTAAGTTTAAGTTCTTAGTTAGAGCTTATTAAAAGAAAAGAGTTAATAAACTACTAAAATAATCTTTTAAAGTAGAGGTTTAGGTATAATTATAAACTAAATAGTAAAATTAAATAGTAAGTTAAATACTACTAAGCTAAGACTGCTCTATAGGGTTTATGTAGGTATTAAATATAGTAGAAGTAACTAAATTAATAAATAATAGTAGGAACTAACCTAGTTATAATTATATTAGTTAGTTATAGGAAGTAGGAGAACTAA